CTCCTCAGGCTGGAGTATGCCCAGCCCACCCAGGCTGAGACTGCACCCTCACTCCCCAACTACACGCACTCTGGAGGGGCTGGGCTGGGCCCGGGCAGGTGTTTTTCTGCTAAGCCGGCTCATTTTGGGGCTGAGAAAACACGGTGTTTTTAAGGGCTCTGTTGGAGAAGTTCCAGAGTGGAGTTTTTAGGATCCCAGGATCAGCAGCCTTTGCCTCATGGTAAAATGCCATCACCTCCCGTCTCCTTGTCCTCTGGGTCCCCTGTGGCCCGAGATGGCAGAACTGAACAGGCTGGCTGGGGTTCCTGCTGAGTGCGGGGCAGGCCCCTGGCATGGTCTCGGTCTCTGGCTCCTATTTCTTCTCTCCTCTCACTTCCTCTGGGACAGCCATCGAGCAAGGTCCTCACGGATGACCTCACCTCAGCATCTCACGTGGGACGCAGTCGGCAGAGTGCATGTGGGATTGGAATCGCCTCACTCAGCTGTGTGGCCTGGGAAGGTGTGCTGTGTTGTCTCTGTGTCTCGGTTTCTTCACCAATAAAGTGACCATATCGTGGCTGCCCTAGAATCAGGCCCACTTCAGGTCATTGACTTACGTGTGTATGGCAGAGACTCAGTTCCCTACTATAGCTATTCTCTCATCTTCCTCAGTAACAGAGGCCTGCGTCCTAGCTGGGCACATGGCCAACTACGAGTAAGGTCTACCTTTCCTAGCCTCCCTAGCAACTAGGTGTGGCCATAGGACCAAGTCCTGGCCAGTGAGATACAAAGAGACGGTCATGTGGGACTTCTCGGAGTGCTTCTTAGACAGTCAAGGGAGCCTTCTTCCTCGCTTTCTCCTTTCTGCTGCTTCAACTGTGGGCATAATGGCTGGAGCGCTGGCAGCCACCGTAGACTGTGAGGTTGCCTTGAGATTGAGAGTGATACCTGGCAAAGTGGAAGACAGAAGAGACCCAGGTCCCCAGTGACTTCCTAGAGCTTCCATGCCAGTGCTCAGATGCCTACCTCTGGACTTCCCTTTTGTGAGCTTTTGTAAACTATTGTGTTTAAGCCTCCAAGGTTGGGTTGCCATCACTAGCAGTAAACCTAATCTTCAGTGATATAGTCTTTGGGTTTTCAGACCATGCCCCGGGAGAAGTCCATTTGCATCATTTTGTTCTGTCTGTGTTCTTGTCTTTCCCATGACATCCTCAGCATCTGGTAACAAGTTGCACGATTTTTATTGTGCTTTGTTCTTTTTCTCCCTTCAAAGCAATAAAGCATTCGGGATGTCTTTTGGAAAATAATGTCAGCCACTGCCATCTTAGGAAGTGTAAATATTTCAGGAGTTAAAAGAGTCTTTCTGACCTTAGTACTGGTGGTGCCAAGTGTCAAGTGGAAATGAGCGACAGCCTGGTTGTAGGTCTAGGACCAGCTGCATCCCCCTGACTGCGGGGCCTCCCCCAGACTCACCTGCCCGCTCGCCAATTTAGAAGTAACACCTGCTGTACCATGTGGGTAGGGGGACAACATAGGAGCCAGGAGAACCACGATCAGGCCACAGCTTAACCAGCAGAGGGGCCTCAGCATGGCCACTGCTCCACCAGCCTCAGTTTCCTCGTCTGTCAAGAGGAATCTTGGGCCTTTCTGAGGTCGGACTCTCAGTGACTTTATGATCAAATAATAGCAGTAAGGATGCCATAACAAATCACACTTCCACTCAAGACGAGTCTCCCAAGTGCCTTGTGCATGGGGCAGGAGTGCTCAGAGTGCAGGCAAGGCCCGCCAGAGTGACACTGAATCTCTCCCCCAGCACTAACTCATCAGGGAAGGTCGGCAGTGCTCAGCCCTTCAGGGGCACTGGCCAGATCTTGATTAACTAAGCAATCACCGTTCCACTGTCCCCATGGCAACAGACACAGATGATTATACTGTGGGACTAGTTGTCTAAGGGCAAATCCATTTTCTACTCAATGTCTGTCAGCATCTTGTCAACGTTTTACAAATTCCAGGTAATAGCTCGCTCTTGGTATCCCATATGTTAAAGATCTATTGCCCTTGCTCTTCCCTGCGACTCCCTCAGCGTGCCCTGTGCCTTGTGAATGCAGAGCCACAGAGGCCAGACGGAGGAGCCAGCCGTTTCCTCTGCTGTGGAGCAGAGAGAGCCCTGACCTCCGCACCAAAGACAGCAGCTTCAACCCAGGTCTGAGGCTGCAGCTGAGCAGTGCCTGCCTGGGTCCTTTCCAAAAACCAGCCTGGTGGTATATCTGCACAGTGGAACATTGTACAGCCATGAAAGGGAGTGAAATTTGAACACATGCTACAACATGAGTGGACCTTGGAAACACTGTGCTGAGTGAGATAAGCCACAAACAGAAAGACAAACATGACTCCATTTACATGAGGTACATAGAATAGGCAAATTCACAGAGACAGAAAGTAGAATAGAGGTTGCCAGAGCTGGGAGTAGGGGAAGATGGAGTGATTGTTGTATGGGTACAGAGTTTATGTTTGGGATGACAAAAAAAAATTGGCAGTATAGATAACGGTGATGATTACACAACATTGTGAATGTATTTAAAGCCATTGAATTTTAAACGTATGAATGGTAAAAATGATAAATACTATGTTATATATATTTTGACACCCCCCCGCCCAAAATAAAACAACCCAAACCTAATGGGCTAGGAATGGGCACTTAATCTTTGCATCAGAAATGGGGTGGGAGGGGGGAGGTAGGGAGAGCTGCTGCAGGGTTGAAAGGGAGTGACAGGGTGTTGAGGAGACCTGGAGAAGCCGTCCCTTAGGATTTGCTGTTGATCAAACTTGGCCTCCAGGCAACCCGGGCACCACTCAGGTGCTTACAGCTCAGCTCAATGGAGGCATCTTCAGCAGATTAGGCAAATGAGCAGTCACAGACTGTTCCTCTGCCACCGGTGGGTGAAAAATGATCGTTATTAGGGAGGAAAGCATGGTTCACTTGTCATTTTTGACATTTGAAGTCCAGAAGGTCTGTTGACCCGTTGAGTTCCCTTCCTACATGAAGTGACATTCCATTTACAAAACCAGCACTGGTATCTTTATAGACATTCAATTCCCATGAAGCAAGCACAGCTTGGGGCATTGGGGCAATATAATTTTAATACTTAATTACTTTGCTTCCTCATTGACAAGACAGCTGCATCTGATGCAATTTGTCATTTCATTAGGCAATAAACATTGAAATCAGCAAACAAACCATTGTGTGCAAGCACAGCCCAGCCCTGCAGCAGCCCCTTGCTGGTGCATTGGGAATTCCAGCAGCAGGGCCTCCAGCGGCCTCCCCCCTCACTTCTTCCTTGGAACCGCACAAAACCACGTGTTCCTATTGCATTGGCTGCTGCCACCATCCCTAATATACAGATGCATAGTACTTTGTGATTTTGACACCAAATTGTCTGTCCCTTATTATAAAAACATGGAGCCACCTTTCTTTGGTTCCTGGCAGACAACTGAGTCAGAAAGCAGAAGTGTGTCCCCAGCACCCCTGTTTGCAGGCCTGTGGCATCCTTACCTGGTGCAGGACTCCATGCGCAGAGAATCTCCTGTGACCTGTGGAAGGCAGGGCAGAGCAGTGCATGAGACAAAGGGAACACCATGATGCCAGTGCAGCCAAAGACCAGGCTGGGGAGGGCAGGGGACACTGTGGGAGGCAGTGGTGGAGATGAGGACCTTCCAGATCACGGGAACAATGAATGAAGCAAAGAGAAACCATGGCGTGGGCCTGGCTCAGCCAGGAGAGCTGCTGACTGGAGCAGAGACTCTGCTGGAAGGTCGAGTCTCTGAGACAGGTGGGACTGGATGACTAGGGATCTTAAAGCTCTGCAGGGAGCTGGGTCTGGACCTGTCTGCAGAGGAAAGGCTGCTGAGCACTTAGAAGAGGCATCTAAAATTCACTCCCCTCTTGCGCATCCCTTCCTAACGATATAACCTGCAAGCAAGTGATTTAGAATTGTCATCCTTGTCATTATGATGGTAATGATTAATGGTCAACACTTATCGTGCACCTACCATGTGCTAAGCACTGTACTACAGCCTTCACGTGCACACACACTCACACACACTCTCACACACTCACACACACTCAGACACAGCTCCACTTTCTTGCAGCTGCTTGGAGATCACTGAGGCAGAAACAGCACCAGGCCAGTCCCTGTCAGGTTCCTGTAGGCTGAGCAAAGTGAGGCCGGTAAATCCTAAGATCTGCCAGTGAACCCCTGCTCTGTGGGCACATCTATAAAGGGAAAGGGGAAAACCTGCAGTCGACTCTCTGAGCATCCAGGGCAGGGAGGAACAAGAAAATCCCCTGCATCACGCTGATCACACTCCTACTGTGTGCTTGGCCTACATGTTTTCACTTTTAACTCTGAAACAGGCCTGTGAGGTATCTTTACCCCCAGAGAGGCTAAGTTACCTGCCCAAGTTACTCAGTCAATTAGTGGCACAGGGAACCCAGATCTGTACTTTCTTCCTTCCTCTGTAGCTTCCTGCCTTAGAACTAGCTAAGCCAACAGAGCTTCTCCATAACTTCTCTTGGCCCCTCAACCCACTGACAGACATCAGTCTCCATTCCCACTGTGCTTCTTCTAAGCCCTTCAGATTCAGTCTTTTCCAGGAGTGTTCCTTTCACTCCTCCACCCAAGTCAGTGTACAGATCTGGTAGCAATCATTTACACTTTAGTATGAATTCCAATCCCTGTGCTACTTGTCCAATGAGTAATTTGCATGTTACACGTTCTCTCTAATGGGAATAAAACCTGCTCTGTATACTTCCATATGTTCCTCCATGCCCATATAATGCTTTACAGACCAACAAATACATGACAGCACTTTTACTAAATGTAAATTAAAAAATTTCTCAGAAAAAGCCTGTAATAAATCCTATCCACTCTACTTCCTTTTTTTTTTTTTTTTCCGTGTCCAGCAACGGATCACAACCCTCAGTGTTGCCCCCGCACCGGACCAGGGACCGGCAACGGGATTGCAAACCTCAGTGTTGCTCCCGCACCTCGCTCAGCCAGTGAGCGGGAGCTGGTCTGTATGTGGGATCCGAACCCTCGGGCAGGAGCGCCGCCGCGCTTCCCAAGCGGTGCACTATCCATTGCGCCACCCGGCCGGCCCGTCTACTTCCTAAATACCCATGTGATCCTTTCCCCTTCTCTCCATCACCATGTGTCTCCACA